ACAATAAAAAAAAAAAAAGAGAGGACCCAAGGGCTTGCTAACCCTCCCCCTTCCCCGGCCTTGCTCGCAACAGCTACTACCTGTGTTTTCCTGTTTTCGCTGTGACTCTCACCCCAACTCTCTCTCACACGTAAATACACCTTCTCTTTTGTAAAAAACTATGGTACGGGAAACCTTTCCATGGAAACACCGGATGGACCCTACAAGAGGTGCCGTGGAAAAAACACCGGGTGAATGATGGACTCTCGCGCTACACATAGTACGAATCTACAAGAGGTGCGACGGATCGGATGACATATATATCAAGTGCTGCCCATTCTTCTGCTGCCGTGACACAAAAAAACGCCGGACCGGGACCGCCCGTTGCTACTGGTTCTCCTGCTCCCAACCGTTACCGCTAGCGGTTGCGGTTGCGGTTGCCGCTGCTGCTGCCGCTGCCGCTGCTGCTGCTGCTGCTGTCGAGCGGGAAGAGATCGAGCCGATTCGAGGGCGACCGGGAGACGAACGCATGGTGCGGGCCCCGGGCCCCGCCGCCGAGGGCGGCGGCACTGCTAGCACTGCCCGGCGTCGAGCAGGAGGGGAAGCCGCTCTTGCCACCACCGCCGCCGCTGCTGCTACCGGTACCGGCACCAGGCGTGCCTCTCAGACCGCACGGCGCCGCCGCCGTCCCGCCGCCGCTGGCGAGCCCTGCTGCGCTCAGCAAAACCGAGGGCGTTATCGTTAACGCCGTCAACGACAGCCCCGCCGCCGCCTCCGCCGCCACTGCCTTCGGTGCCTTTTGTACGCGGATGGGTGCGAGGCTAGCCCGGCTGCGGAGCACCGCTTCCCCCTTTTCCGCCGCCGCGGACCAATCCAGGGATCGGTCCGCGGTACGCGCCATGGACAGGCCGGCGGCCCGGTCCGCCGTCCGTTCCAACGGACGAAAACACCGCCGCATCGCCGTCGCCGCTGCCGCTGGTGCCCCGCCGCAGCCTTCGATGGCACCCGGATCCGCAGCAGCTTCGAAGGGGCTGCTGCTGTACTGCGCAGCGGCGCTGCTGGCGGTAGGAGCGGAGGTGATACCCCTCGTGAACCTGCCACCGGCCGCCCCGAACTCTCCTCCTCCCTCTCCGCCCCGTTTGCCTCCTCCGTACAGCCCCGCCCCGCCGTCGCCACCGCCCGACAGGTCTCGCTCCAGAGGCGGAAGCTTCGGCGAAGCTCCGAGGACGCCCGCGCTCTTGGTGCGCATGCACTGCAGCGGCATCGAGTTGGACCTCCAGCGGTGAAGCCCGCTGCGACATGCGATGCTGCTGGGGGGAGGAAGGAATAGACAGCGGAACGGAGGAGGACGGATGACGGGTGGAGGATAGTGTCATTGGATCGCCGCCGGTTCAACAATGCAGAGGATAGGTGTCAAGGCTTCCGCTCTCGTCAATGAGAGGGCGGCAAGGAGAAGGGAGGGGGGGGGCGTACTCATTTGTTGCTTGCCGTGGTCATTTGACCATTGACCACGCGTCCCTTTCGAGACGGAGCACCGTTCCTCACCCTACTAGAGACACCAACAACATTTGGGAGCTCTTTACGTTTCTGCCACAAACTACATAAAAATTTCTTGCACATCTTATCCCCGTCCTCTAGGGCCTCTTGTGCCCACCATCTATCCCCAACTATCGCGATCGTTTTTTCGCTGTTGTCTAATTTACCAAACTTGTCCATGCCACACCCTCTCTGTCTCATTTCCTCCTCGAGATCCTCTCTTTCCTTCCTGTACAACTCACACTCCCCAACTATGTGGGGTCTACTCTCCTCCGATTTGCCACATGGACATGTGTGTCTATCCTCCTCTTCCTCTCTCCTACGGCTGGTGTACCTCTTCCTCCGTTCTGGCAAGTCCAGATCGCCTACTCGAAATTGCAATTTCAGCTTTTTCGCGTAGTCCATGGGGCCGTCCATATACGTCTTCATCCCTATCCCTTCTTTCAACTTCCCGTATATCTCCAAGTGGTCTTCGCTTCGAACCTTCTTCCGAAGGGTTGCCTCCTCCCTACTTTCTAGCATCTCCTTGACTTTCGTCTTGAACCCCCCGAACCCTTCCGTGTCCAACGTCTCCTCCTCGTCTCCTATCTCCTTCCAAACCTTCTCTACCACCTTGTCCCATCTGATTCCCTTCTTCCCTGGAGTCGCTTTTCCCCAAGCTGCCTTGTCAACCATGGCTGGTAGTCTATCGTCGGGGGGGGGGGGGGGGGGGGG